TTGCGCGAGCGTTCACTCGCGCTAATTCCAAATAATCGCAGTCAAAAGTGCGATTTGGAGCGCGATGCTGATCGCGATTATTAGTGAGTATTATTGCGTTCACACTTGTAATAATCTCGGTATTTCGATCGCGATGCAAAAACCGGGATTTGCATCCCGCTTATTCGCGCCAGTCTGAACGCGCCTATTGTGTGTGCGTGTGCGTGCGTGTTGTTTGTGTGTGTGCGTGCGTGTGTTGTTTGTGTGTGTGCGTGTGCGTGCGTGTGTTGTTTGTGTGTGTGTGTTGTGTTGTGTGTGTGTTGTGTTGTGCGTGCGTGCGTGCGTGCTTTTTCTCATTTCTCAATCTGTATCCATACATCACGTATCCGCTCCCTATGTCTCAGAAGAGCGTACACATAGGTGGAGAGCACGAGGGATACCGTCTTCCTTAGACTAATAACACCCACCCACCCCCAATAAATGTAATACATAATAGACGAATTAATCCTCGTAGAAAAATACTATCCTACGCGTGGTTTACTTACGGTGGACGAAAGTACTCCGTCGCTATTAGAAAGTTAGGTTATAAAATTTTGCGACACCTCACCTACATAGGAATTAACACGCGCCCGCCACCCCTTGTTTAATATCTCGCTATTTCCTAGTATGCAATCTAAGGTCGGAACTTGGTCACAAATATGATGTGTGTACGATACCAAAATTACAGCGACAACTAATGTCATTCAACAATTGATTGTCGTATATTCTGTTTTTATTTATTCATTTATTTATTTCAAAGAGTTGCGAACCAATCTAAAATCACTTCAAGATTTAACTGAAGTAATACAATATATAAAACTGTTTCTCGTGGAATAGAATTGCCCCTATTCAACTAAATTATACACAAACAAAATAAATACGAGCTTCAAATTCATAATTTTTGATAACAAAGACTTTTATAGAAGCACAAAATGTTGAGATTTTTATAAAATCGCTAAACTGCAAAACTTATCTTACATACTAAAACTAGCTATTTCTCATTCACGATTTCCAATGGTCCATAAATAATGCTAAAAGGGTGCAACGCTTTACCAGCCACCAAGCTATACCATCTCTAGGATACCATTTCCTTCTTACCCAAGTTTAAATTTTTTAGTAATTGGCCTCTACGATCACGTGCGGTAGCATATTGACTATTGATTATTGATCAGACTAAGCCCTGTTAATCAATACTAAGTAGCTGAAACTTCATCTCTACCTTCCCTCCTCACTTATACAACTCGAAAAAACACGGTTAAATGCAAAAAATTGAATTCGATGCTAGAACCGAATTCACACTTACTTTGATTTTCAGGGGTATTTGCGTAACAGTAACCCAGGAGTACACCTAATATATATCATCACTGTAATGTATTTACACTGCAGCTGCGCAAGCCCGAGAACAGCATTCGTGGCGTAACACCGCACAATTAAGTTTCTAGCTGACACATATAAAGCACGGGAGTGCTGTGTGCTGTGTGCGTGTAGCACGGCTCTCTCCCAAACCAAAGATACTCTCCACCCGAAATAAAACACACGCACACACGCTCATGCACATCTATCAGTATATATCATGCCATCCGTGGACGAAACAGCAGGCATGTACGTACGTACGTATATATATATATATATATATATATATATACCGACTTCGGTAGAAGATTATAGTGCATATTTAGTAAGAGAAGCGAACGACTTTTCCAGTACGAATGACTGACTACTCGTAGAGGCAAGCGCTGTCACGCTAGTGAATTATAGGAGGCAGGGATGCGCGAATACCACTCATCACTCACTGCACGTAAGGAGGGCCGCAGCATGCCTACTGCATAGACGATCGCAGCAAACATCTACAATACGACGAAGAACTAGTCGATTTCTCGGTCTGCGTTAGGCTAGCAACAACATCGTCCCTGTGTCCAGCAAACTAATGAAGTTATGTGCTAAACCTACAGACCAGCGCGCGAGACACAGTGCTGCCATCATACGGCACGAAGCTAGCAGCCACACGTGTAAGCTACGGCGATCACTGCTCTGTGAAAGTTACTATATGTAAACTATGAACCACTGCTCACGCACGCGACGAAAACTATACACTGGACGCAAAGAAGTAGTTATCAATTTACTGATTGTTAATATCATTACATTATCTATCGAAATGAATATACCAAGATGATTTGCATGCATGCGCGCGAGCCATTGCTGTTGTGAAGAAGACAGAAGTTGCTGGCAAAAGCAACCCCAACTCGTCAAATATAAACTGCACTTGTGCTGTGTCGGTGCGTTCGCATATACACAGCTGACCCAGTAACGGAGGGTCAGGGAGTACACTGCGCACACGAGAGAGGATCACAACCAAACGATTTCCTCCAAACGAGTGTCACGGCACATGACTAAAACACTCGCAAAGAAGAACGCCTTATGAAATAACTAACGCTTTCCGATACTACTCCGAGACCAATTTTTATCATAACCAAGATTTGGGCACAGACGCTAAATGCGCCGGTGCCATGAGATCGCTTTACTCGCTGCCATGACGACGAGCGGAAGCTGCTGCGTTTATATTTCGGGGGGGCTATTACACACACACACACACACACACACACAATTCTGCTGAGCTGTTGTGCGACTGTGGGGGTGAGAGATGCTCCAGCGGTGACCACTCGCGGATGCGGCACGGCGGTAGCGCCGTGAAAAATACGCGGATCCCTCCCTCCTCACTCGCACGACGACACGTTACGACGACGACGACGACGACGACGACGAATAAATGACGGAGCGACGACGCGGGGGGGGGGATCAGTCCGACTCCGGCTCGCTGTCGCTCTTCTGCTCCCTCCGCGCGGTTATATGTGGACCGCTGTTTTTGTCTGCGCTCCTCTCTTCTTCCTCCTTAGTCATGAACCTGAAAGACGGCGCAAGAGGCAAGCGATTAGCGACACGTTTCATTGTTTAATCGATCGCGAAAGTTTTAACGCCAAAAGAGCGAATACGGCACGACTTCCGACGATCGAGAATCAAACACATTGTGAGACTTCCATGCGGCTAGGAATCAGTAATTAGTACCCTTTAAATTCTCAGTAATTAATCCTAATCTAATTTAATAATTTAAATTAGTAATTGATTTAAATCTCAGTAATTAGTACATTTAAACATGACTATCGCGTCCCGACTCTCAACACCACCGTGAAACGCCAGCATCAACACTGATATCTACTCTAGCAATGCAACTGCCGAATAGCAAAATTAAACCCAGTTTAACAATTCCCTTAGGCCTCTATATAATATCTCTATTAGCCCTTAATAAAGCAATGACGTGGCTTCAAAATGCACGTGCGCCTCACAGGGCTTTATCGAGGTTCCCCACAGTGTGGGGCTGCCTGCATGCCTGCTAGCCCTGTAAAGGTCATGCATGGATAACACGAGGGTAGATGCAGTGCAGACCTGCACAGCACGAAAGCAATAGAAGGCACATAACCGAGACTTCACCGCATGGCTGGAACACAGGAGCCCCAGCAATGGAAGCTTCTGTTCAGAACACGAGTAGAACGTGTGTGAAATGGCAGAACAACGGCATATGCGAGAAATTTCGATCAACCGATAAAGAGCGCTTCTGCTAGCACGTGAAAACCGAAAAGGTACACTGACATTGCCGTCACCACACTACGCACAGTGGCATCCCCATGAAAAGCACTATAACGGATGTAAAGGGTGTCTAAAGAGGACAAGGGATAAGATCATGTCACGTGAGCATGTCTAACTATGGCTGCCAGGGTCTATGTCTCCCTGGGTACTGCCGGAACGTACCCTGGTACTATCTAATATGCCGGACCGTACCTCGCCTACTCCACTAACGAGTCTAGGGAGTCGCCTACGCCTACTCCCTAACCCTAACCATATCAGATAGTAACCAGGGTACGTTCTGGTATACCGGACCGTACCCAGGGTACGTTCTGGCAGTACCCAGGGAGACATAGACCCTATCAGCATAACTATGTGCACTGGCGTGACCATCGCATTGCAGCTACAACAGGATAAATAAATCTTTCACCGATCATGCATGCCTGGCAAGAAAGGGTAAATAATTGTAGTGCAGAGGTGAACGTTCTTCTCCCAGCTCCAGTGACATAGGAAACCCAACCAATCACATTGACTATAGGGAAAATGTGCTATGATGTGTAAAGTTTAAGGGTGAGTGAACAGTCATACTTACCGAACGCCTTCATTGACTGCACGCGGCACACAAAAATATGATATTATTATGACATATTCTGATACAATTAATATATACAATTAACATGAAATTTATCACTACGTGAATGCAGTTTCATATATAGTGATGTTGTTCATTTGTTCTCAGGCAAATCCATAACATCTGCACAGACCATCCATATTTATGAAACTGCGTCTTCGTCACTAATCTTACTAAAACACGTTTTTAACGATTTGATGACTGTATAACAAATAATATTAAATTGCCTATAATGCTACATGAATACATGTAGATAACCATAGCAAGTCCACAGCCACGACATACGACTGTAAATGTATAATTACTATACGTATTTGTAGCATCATAGCCAAGCTAATATCAATATTAAAACCGTGCTGAATAAAACATTATATATATAAGTTTATAATGAAAGAAAAATTAATTTTGAATGTCACATGTAAAACCCCAACATAAGCATCACTAATGTCACCCCTCCCCCTTTATGGTAATTTTTAGTTCACTGTCAAAACAAGCGAGCATCCTGCGCTCGCACGCAGACGAGCGGCATCACGTCGTTACGTACCTGTCCGAGATGAACTTCGTGTTTTGAACCTTCTCCGGCAGCTTCTCTCGGGTTCCTTTCGGCGCGTTGAACTTTGGCGGCGTGTATGCTTCGTCGTTGACTCTGTTCTGTCGCACTGGCGAAAAACAAAACACACAAACGCGATGACTAGCGAAAAAAACGAAAAACACAGCCGAAGGTTGTTTTTATCACTAAGGGAGGGCCGCACCGAGCTGCGACCACCACTCACACTAGTAAACAAGGACATGAATTTAAATAGACAACATCTGGCATTTAGGGGTTCTCAAGCGATCTTAGTTCGCGCAAGAAACCCAGACATAGGCGAATGCCCGGAGCCGGCATGGGCTGTTACAACTGTCAACTTACAACACGACGCCATACTTAGCGATGCTTTGCCGGTAATACGCGGATCAATTATTATTGCAGGTACAGTCTGCAGGAAAATTAATATACTCACAGCACCTATACAGACCAGATACTGTTTCATTATTGATAATAATTAATCATTCATTCAATAAACAGTGTTTTGATCATCATCACGCAAATCAGAGCGAATTCTACCGGCATCCAGAGATACGTGACGTGACGCGCGTAACGCGCTTGCGGGGGAGAGTGGCGGCGTCCGACACGCGGCCACCAGAGCGCGCCACTCACGTGTGTCTGTGTTGCGCTGCAGGTACTCGACGATCTTCATCCGCGCCTCGAGCGTCTCGAAGTTGAGACCGAGTCTCAGGATGGATGTGTTCTCCTGTACCAGTTTACAGATCTCGCTCTCAAACTTCACTCCCAACACCGTCGACCTCTGCAGACAAACCAAGGTCACGACAGTCAGGTGCAGCTCGAGAGTAGATGGCGCCAATACGGTTTCAGGTGCATACATGGCGCTAAAGTGAAGGACTTTCTAACATAATGACAACAACAACAACAACAACAACAACA